TAACTACAGGTCCCTGATGTGTATAATAGCTATAGTGATCTCTCCCTACATGATTTATAACTACAGATCTCTGATGTGTATAATAGCTATAGGGATCCCTCCAGACACAATTTATACATACAGGACCCTGATGTGTATATTGGCTATAGTGATCTCTCCTGACACGATTTATAGCTACAGATCCCTGATGTGTATAATAGCCATAGTGATCTCTCCTGAAACGATTTATAACTACAGATCCCTGATGTGTATAATAGCTATACTGATCCCTCCAGACACAATTTATACATACAGGACCCTGATGTGTATATTGGCTATAGTGATCTCTCCCGACACGATTTATAACTACAGGTCTCTGATGGATCACTATAGCTATTATAACTACAGGTCACTGATGTGTATAATAGCTATAGTTATCTCTCCCTACATGATTTAATAATAGCTATAGTGATCCCTCCAGACACAATTTATAAATACAGGTCCCTGATGTGTATATTGGCTATAGTGATCTCTCCTGACATGATGTATAACTACAGGTCTCTGATGTGTATAATAGCTATAGTGATCCCTCCAGACACAATTTATAAATACAGGTCCCTAATGTGTATAATAGCTATAGTGATCTCCCCTGACACGATTTATAACTACAGGTATCTGATGTGTATAGTAGCTATAGCTATCTCCCCTGACACGATTTATAACTACAGGTCCCTGATGTGTATAATAGCTATAGTGATCTCCCCTGATGCACAATAATCTAGTGGTAGGATGCTGGGCTCGTGACCAAAGGGTTGCGGGTTCGAGTCATGGCACGGCACTGTGTTGTATCTTTCAGCAAGATACTTTGCTTCGCTTGTTCCAGTCTACTTAGCTGTAAATGAGTATGTGGTTGGGCAGTGCTAGAATTGTAGATTGCTAGCTGTGAGCACCAAAATGGCAGCACCGGCTGTATGCTCCCCAGGGAGTCGAGTAAGATATTGGCTGGTTACAAAGGCCCTATACCAACAGATAATAATTTGTGAAACACTTTGAGATGACCTACAAACTACAGGTTGTGATATAGGGGTATATAAGAACCTCCAATTATTCGTTATTGCTAATATTATTATAATAGCTAAGATTAACTCCCCTGACTACAGACACCATGTACCTGGAAGAACTGTTACTGTAATTATATTTACCTTGAGAACCCGGAGGGGTTTGTCTGGATTGTTGATATCGAGGTAGTTGATATGACCAGACAGGGAGACAGATATCAGGTATTCATCCTGCCAAAGACAACCCACCTGCATATCGTTCATGGTGGAACCCATGTTAAATGTCCTGGAACAAAATCATAATGATATGAACAAGCCCTGACTTAGTGATAATCCATTGATATCACACAAATGATTATGTTATGAGCATCATACAAAAGCTACAGTATTTTGAGGAAAGACGAGACTAAATCGGAGAGACACAGAGCTCATTGTCTGTACACAGCACAAGATGTAACAGCTAAAGCTTGGACACTATAATCATACAGCCAGTGCCATTTAATTGGGAATCCCAACAAGAGGCCCATGGACCTTAACGGTCACCTGAGTCCTACAGTATTCATTTTTGTTGTTGAAATATGTACCAGTTTGAGTAAAAGATAGTTAAGTATAATGTTAACTTAACTTTGTCAGGACCATGAGCTGATCATTCCTAGACCGATTTTCAGTGAGATCGGCCTATTAGAACTTGTTTTTAAGTTTGAAATAGGTATTTACAAAATAGCGACCATGGCAGCCATATTGGATTTCTGATTGACCCGAAAAATAACAACACTTTGTCAGGACCATGAGTCGATCATTCCTACAAAGTTTCAGTTCAATCGGCGAAGTAGAACTTTACTTTAAGTTTGAAATAGTTTTTCAAAATGGCGGCTGTGGCGGCCATATTGGATTTCTGATCGACCCGAAAAATAACAACACTTTGTCAGGACCATGAGTCGATCATTCCCACATAGTTTCAGTTCAATCGGCCTAGCAGAACTTGACTTTAAGTTTGAAATAGTTTTTCAAAATGGCGGCTGTGGCGGCCATATTGGATTTCTGATCGACCCGAAAAATAACAACACTTTGTCAGGACCATGAGTCGATCATTCC